TGTTTAGCCGAGGCACCGACTTGCCTCGACTCGAAGAAAAATATGATCGTGTCGAACTAGGCTATATTCCAGAGGCGAAGCGATCCGCAGCAGTCTCAGGCGCGCTGACCGCGGAGGGAGAAGACGAACGGCCTCGCAATTGGCTGCTTATAACGAGCGCGCGGAAAGCGTAGGTAGCTTAATAGCCATATTTACAGCCTCATCCAATTATTGAGTAAACACGAGGAATCCGCGGGTCAATATATCGTTTGAAAAAGAAAAAAAAACGTAAGAACTAGCGCCGCCAGGCCGCTTACGGATAAGTGATGCAGGTGTTGCACGGACTAAGTAAATTAGCTCGGTATAAGGCTTTCTCGAATGCAACGTGTGTAGCTATTTTCATCTGGCTTCCGTCTGAGTCTGAGTCTCTATCGTCGGTGCTGCTCTTTTTATTCCTTCCTTTTTTTGCCCGCAATGTTGAAGTCGTGTCGCGCGCTTGGACGGGACTTGGTTAACAGATTTACGCTGTACATCACCGTTAATACCGCGTGTCTCTTGATATCGCGCATCGTGAATTATACGAAGCGCGCGGCAGACAAATCTAATGCTTCTGCGGGCGATGCCCGTGGAGGTTGTCGCGCGTTGCGAGATTTAATTCTCTTCTTGCCAATTGCGTCATTTAAGGGAAACACTCGAGTACCAAACCCTTTCTCCTATATTCCAGAAACGACAGGGGAACCGGGACAATGGAACCGTTCAAACGAACATATGCATCACTCGTATGCAACGCTCAATAATAATCTCGTTGCACCGTGCGGTAATTGCGCTTTCGCATGCGTAACTCGGTTAATTGATCGATAAGCAGGAATAAGAACGACCGGCTGCAGTATAACGTAAAATAAAAAAGAAGAAAGGAAATATTCGGCATTATTCTTTTCATATTTCAAACTGGATGAAACAAACATTAGAATTATATAATTTATCCATATAATTATCTCGTATATCGATAGTGTGGAATAAAGTAACGTCCGATATGAGGTAGAGCAAGCAATACGGCGAGAAATTTTTTTTCGTTATCGTACAAAGCGAAGTGCACAATTGCGCATTTAGATGCGATATAACTTTAATTACCTTCCTACACTGAAATGCAAATTAATTATAAGTATTGATAAAGTTTATGACGTTCAACGTATGGCACGTGTAGGTGATAATGGCTCGTTTTTGCTGCGTTTTGCAAGATAGTATAAGCCGTGCAAAAAAATATATATGTACGTATACGTATAAAATATATAAATATGTAAAAGCAAATATTTCAGAGAAAATAAGCGTGCAGACGTCACCGGCTGTTTTCCCGCGACGCTTTACGCGTCATTGGTAACGACGGTATGTCACGACACAATGTTACACATTGTAAGCTCCAAAATAGTGAGAAAACAACTGAGTCGTCTTATCATGCTTTCTTATATGTAACGAGTTAACATAGCTAGAAATCCAAAGTTCCTGGTTAACGTTAATGTGATTTTTTTGTGAAACTACGAAAGCGTGATTAGCCGCTGTCCGCGTTAAATAGACGCATATAGAAATATTTGTTATTCAGCTATGAAGAACCGCGTGAGAAACTATCGCGCATGTCTAGATGAGTCACGAGAGCCGAGAGAATACAATTTTACTTTCATAGAACGATACAAAATATATCCGGAAAGATAGTGAGAAAAGCTGTGCGCGACCTTCCTTTCCATCCTTCGAACGATTCACGAAGATAGAAACGCGGAGATTCCACGCTCGAGCAAAAACCGCGTTGTTTGTCGAAATTACAAAGGACCGTATTCGTCCACGTCCCACGTTAAGCGCGCCAACCACCACGGCAGCGACGACGACGGATCACATTCAGAGTTTTAGGTGCCCCGCTGCATTTGCATAATGATAATGCATTTGCATAATCACAATGATAACTCGAGGGCAATCCAGTATACGTGCGCGCGTTCGTCATCGTCAGTCGTCTCGTCGTGGCATGTTCAAAGTACCCTAATTTTGTATGCTCTACACAGGGTGATTCCGTTAACTGGGCTGGGTTGTATCTCTTTTTTAAGGTAGAAATAAAAATGGTAGAGAAAACTCTTTCGCTGTTTAGTATGATCTACCATTCTGTGACTATATTTTTTCAATGGTGCACTTGCAGGGCACCATTGAAAAGTCAGGCAATGGTCATTTGACAACAAACATCTTGATAATCACACACACAAGTATGAAATATAGATTTTTCTTAGAACTCTTGAATAAAATTCAGATAAAAAATTTAATTGCAAGTTAAAATTTTGATTTCTCAGATGCAAGTCGCAAACTAAGCTGCAACTTCTCTTTCAACGATTTATAATTGCACACATTTATTAAAGAAAATTTTCATAAAGCAAAGAATGGAATTTGGACGAATTTATGGCCGGTTTTATGTGCCGAGCGCGTCTTCGGTGCGTACGAGTGTCCTGCACACGCACCTCGGTTCACGCGCGCGAATATATACACGCTCATAGAAGAGCAGTCAACCTTCTCGATCTACGGTCGAACACGCAGTATACACAGAGACGGAACACGGCGTAAAAGGTGTGCACGCGTGTATAAGAGCGAAATAGCTGGCAATTTGCGAGGTTTACGAGTTATTTCACAATGGCTGCAAAGTATAGTCCTACAGTATTATACTGCCGTGGTAGCTCTCGAGTGCACGGTCAGCGTTGTTGCACGGGGTAGGACGTGCCATGCGCGCGTGTGGGTGCGTGCGAGCGAGCGAGCGCGAAGGGGGCGAGACGGAGAGGAGAGGAGAGGAGGGCCTCGTATGGGCGCGTTGTTGTTCGTGTTGGGTATCACTGGTGTCGGTGGACTACTTTGTGTACGATAGGTGTGCGATCGTTGTTTTACTGAAACAAGTTCCTGGCCCCCGATACGTCGGATGGTACGCGACGTACTCCGGAGTAGTCGGCCCCCGTCCCGCCCCTCTGCTTACCCTATTTCAAGACAATAACCAACTGACTATAAACCTGTCCGGAGGTCGGGCGCTTTTATTTTCCCCCGAGTTAGCCCGAGTCTGGTTCTAAAAACATCTTTAAATCTCCTTCGAATCTCGATGGAAAGAGACAACCGCGCGCGGAAGCGTCGCGAGATTCGCGTTGGATAAAAGGGTAAACGACGTTTTAAAGCCGCGAGGCTCGGAACAGAGCGCGGCGAGAGCTTCAAGAAATTCGCGAAAAAAAAGAAAAAACGCGAGAGCCGCGGTACGCGAACGATTACCGACACCTCGGAAAAAAAATAGAAGGAAGAGTAAAACAGACGAAACCACCATCACGCCGAAGAAGAAAGATTAAAGAGCAGCTTGTACGCCCTCGCCGGAATGATGGATGCGATCCCTAAGATGCGGGCGCCGTTCGCCAAGTAGGTGGAGACTTCTATTTCCATTCCCCCGCGCACGTTGTTTCTCGTTACCCGCGCTCGTCTTTCGCGCGCCGTTTATCCGCATTCGTCCGCTTGTTGTATGCTTTAATCGATGATACGCTATTAGGCCGATACTCTGTTAAATAAAAGAACTTTTCGCTTAAAATTACGCGAAAGCCATTCTTAATAGTTTTTCGAAAAAAATTCATAGAATTTCATAGATTTCTCGGACTTATATTTTGTAGCTGAATTGTATATCGGTATGGTTAGTTTTAAAAGTTGCGACGCGAATCCTCAGCAGATTTGTCACGCGGACTATGAAAGGATATCGGCGTTTTGCGGGCTCGCGCGCGCGAAACAACAATTTAAATGGTAATCCAATACCACACCCTCTTGGGGCAAAAACCGAAAACCGCGGGCGAGCGGGGCGGCCGGACCGACCCGGCCGGATCGCCGCGCCGCGCCATTTCATATACCCCATATGGCAAAAATGCATCCGCGCGAGCGGAGTGCACGACGGAGTCACCGCAAAAAGCGTTAACAAGGCTGCGATGCGAGTCCAGCTAATTCTATAACTTGGTCCCCATCCCCCTGACCGGCTCGCGCGCGCAGCCTCCTTTCTACGTGTCTTATGAATAGCGCGTTACTCCAGGTCCGAATATTCCTTCCTTCCTTCCTTTCTCGCAGTGTGTCGAGCCGATCGCGTCTTTCGTTCTTGCCGCGGAACCACCGTCAACGAACTCGCCGTTCGTTCGGGGACGGTCGGCTGGTAATTATCTCCCGGCCGTGTAAAAATAATAATTAGCTTCCATCGTTGCATTAATTAAAGCGCCTCTCTTTCCACCCGGTTCACCGTCTCTCCTCGCCTCGCGCTTTCGCAGGGGGAGAGTTCCGCCGTAATTACACGTCCCTCGCGGCACTAACCAGTGTCCCACAAAAGGTGACCGCGCGAGTTGTTCACGCCCACGACACTCGGCCCGGGTTCGCGCGATCGCGCGCCATACCGCGGCGCAGCATACCTATAGACTGGGTTCCACTTATCGCTCACAACGCTCGCGAGCATCATTTCGTCCTTGTTTAACATTTGACAAACAACAAGGATGAAATGATTCCACGAGCGTTGCGAGCGATAAGTGGAACGCACCCCTATTACGCTGCCGATGCTACTCTCGAATATCGTTCAATTATTAATTCGAATCGCTATTCTGCCTATTTTGCCAAACTCATTTCTAAACGTATTTATAGACCGTCCAACTTGGAGAAATAATCAGACATGTTGATAAGCTTTGGAATTTAAAGCATAATAACCTTTTAGCGTTCCACCAAAAGCATCAAGCGAGAAAGTGTTAGGCGTACAAATTTTTCCCCTTCACAATTGCACGTAATATATAATTTTGAGAGATTGATACGCTATATTAGTTACATAAAGTGCAAGTGTGATTAAATTGAGAGGTAAAAGAGAGAGAGAAAAATAATTGGAAAGAGACAATCGAAACGGCACGTTAAACATGTTAGTCGCCCAAAAACGCGGCGATATCGCACGATCATTGCCGACAAGCTGAGGAAGGCGTACGTACTTGCTAGGTATTTGCCTGACGCACCTGTCTGAATTGTTCTTCGAAGCTCCAGTTGGCTCCGGATGGATGCTGACTGTTCACCGACGCAGCGCGAGCTTCACCCTCACGAGCTTCTCCGTTATTCCTCGAGCTTCCTTGCAACGATTCTCCGTTATTCCTCGAGCTTCCTTGCGAAGATTCGCCGTTATTCCTGCAGCGAGGTGGCGAAGATTCGTTGGCCGGCGTGGTAGAAATCGGGACTCTGGAAGAAGAGGCAGAGCAACCCAATGCTTGATTCTCAACTCCTTGAATCCCGAGATTTCCCGCGACTTGCAGATGGTTGTTTTGCAACGGCTGTGGCGGTATATGCGATGACGGCGGTGGCGGCTGCGACATGTATGGAAACAGGCCGAAGTTACTGCTCATCGCGGCCTGTAGAACTTCCAAATTGTTTCTACCTTGCAGCATTTCTGCGTCGTTACGCTATAAAAAGACCGTTAAAAAATACCGAATTAGTTATTTACAATCGAGCAAACATCGAGCGATAAAAGTAATTCTTATCGAATAATTAATTGACATCAGAGCATTCCTTGCTCATTAATACGAAAACTGTATAAAGATTTATTCCATTGTTTTCAAAAGTTGTAACCGATTACGAATTTTACTAAGAAATACGTTTGCAGGTGTCACAACCTTAATTATTTATACAATACAGAAGTATAATATAAAGCGTCAATTATTTCTGCTGAAACTTTCTAACTTCGCAAGAGATTCTCTTCATTTTCACGCCGCGAACAAATACTATTGTACACGAGAGAGCACAATCTCTTATCGGACCATTGATCGTAGAGAGATTTGCGTTCGGCCAGATCTGTCATCCGGTTTAGGCTGTTGCGTAAAAAAAAAAAGAATCTATTGTCACGATGGTAACTCATTTATGACTGTCAACGTCCGCTGTTACGACTGTCTCACGATTTTCCACGATTCGTGTCATTCTACCTTGGCACTTTTGTAGGTCAACGAACGCTCGAGCCTGCCGAGCAAGTTTTATGACGAATTATGCGGCTGCTTATCTTCACGGAAACTCAACAGGGCGAACGATAGAGAATTCTTGACAATAAGACTATTTTTCGAGATCTGCGGATGTTTTCGTGCCGTTTTGGCGATAAACAGCTTATGCATTCAACGAAATGTAAAGCAAGTAGCGAAAGATTAAACATGTAAAAGAAGCAAAAAAGAGAACGAAAAGGCTTCTGTCACTAACCTCCAATCTAAACTTCGCTAGTAATGGATGATGCATGAAATTGTTCAAATGTGCTAATGAAGACGCACCAGCTGCGTCCAGGGCTTGTGGGTTGACTTGAAGTGGCGGCGAAAGTAACTCTTCTTCCTCTTGTGCCTCATCATCTATATCCGATTCATCATTATCTTCTTGATACTGAAATCATAAAAAAAAAAAAAAACAAGAAAATTATAATTCTACTCGAAGTAAAATTCCGCTTCATATTAGACGTGTGTGTCTATACGTAATCAGGTGAATGCAATGCATATGCGAAAAAACACGATAAATTATCATAAAATTGATTGATAAGTGTTCGTTCCTAATATTTTTATATGTTAGTAATTTTTATACGATGCGCAAATTTTTTCTTCGCCTTCCTTTTCGTCTCATGGTCGCGTAAATTTACAATCGCACGAAAAATAATCGATCGAATCAGGAGTCGGAATAAATAGTAGTGGAATCGGTTGATAACAACCGGTGATATCAACCGTGCAAGTTTAATCGTGAACAAGGAGGGCAGATAGCGAGGCATTAAACATTAATTAGGAAAATGGCGAATGCGATGAGTTATATACACCGAGAGATAGCCGCTATCAAGTAACATTATTATGCTACGGGTGTCATAAGTGTTTTACGGCTGTGCCCATTGCACCGGAGCTGGCATAAAAATGTACAAGTCACATTACCGGGAACGGAAACGGCCGTCGTAAAAAAAAAGAGATGGACGCTCCATATTTTTTCCACGCTTGAAATTAACTCAACCTCTCGATAAATGTCCTGCGCGCGACTCTCGGACACGGCGAGCGTCGACTCGCGTATATAGGTACTTATTTTCTATGTACATTAATTTTTGTTTCCTAAGATAAGATCACGGAATATATGTATATGACTTACAATTAGACAAGAAAACAAAAATTAAAAACTAATCATTAATATTAAAATCTATATAGGTAATCTGCAAAAATTTTGCAGATTTTATAGACGTGTGTATATACATGTATATGTAAACTATTTTATATATATTATCCATAATAGAACGTTGTACAAATAAGAATTAAAGGAGTGACATTCGAAAGGAGGGAGACGTCACTATTCATTATTTTAGGGAGTGTCCCTTTTATCTAAAAGAAGATGCAAATAGATTCATCGAAGCTTCAAGTATATTCAAATGGTGAAGAAGCCCGAGCTTTTACCTGGAAAGGGCGGACTCGAGTAAATATATGCCTATCGGGGATGTGCAAGTGGATTCAACGGTAAATGTACCGATGTCGGGGCCCAATCTTAAATGGGACTACGATCGAAGGACAAGACATCCGATGGGCGAGGAGTGACAAACGGCCTCTCTGTCGGCATTCTCAGCACGTGTGATAATATTGACCCTCTACGGTGGTGGTCAGGAATGAATGAGCGGCAAAAAATAGAATCCTAATCAAATATGAAACAAGTTCGTTTCTGAGATTTCGATCTAGTCCGTCAACCTGTTATAATACTTGCCTATATTTTTATTCTACATCTTTCGGGTAAATCTGTTTTATATCTTTATTCGAATAAAAAATTTCAGAATTAAATTGTATCTATAATTATAATTGCAAACGATAAAGCATTAAGATACACTGTTAAATATTAAAAGATAAAATTTAAACCAGTACCTTGAGTTAAACAATATTTTATATTAACAGTATTTTATATTTATTTTAAACAATATTTTATATTTTGTTAGTTTAATTATTTTAACATAAAAAAGAGTATTATTTTTTAACTCCATTGATTTAGTCGAATTAACGACATATTGAGTAAGAGCAGTGGCGACCTACAGGAATTATTAAAAATTACTGAAATTGAATATAATTTAATACTACGAATTTAACAATGTAAACATGTATAATAAAAGATATATCTTTACCAGAATTCAATGTGATCGATTATCGAATAGTACATACATATGTGTTAATGTTTGAAGACTTGTTCCGATAACAAATCGTGAAAGTCGTTGTGTGTTCCGGACGCAAGTATTTATGCGAAAAATATTGTTGAAACCGGCGCGTTGGGAAAAAGGCGCGAAAATAAATTACGGTGGTTATATATATGTATATACAATATATATATATATATATATATATATATATATATATATATACACACAACCATATATGTGGTATCGTTATTCTCACCATGGCGTGAGGTTACGAATTATATCATTCAAGTATTTGCGAACGGTACCGTCATTACAATAATCACGGTAGAGCCGCGTTCGAGGGTGCCATTGTTCTAGTCTGAACCGAGTATTCGCACGTAGGTGTCTGAATCTCGTATGGAAAGTGACGGAAGAAATACGCCGCGGCGCCGGTTGCATCCGTCGAAGCAACGAATATCACGAAACGGACGTTCAATTATATTATTAATCAGCTTAGAACCGTTTGAAGGTTCATATATAGCGAACATTTTCCACCTTGTAACTGTTACTAACTGAGGTCTAACTTTACCGTTAATATGCTAATATTTATTATATGTTGAAATTTTGTGTGAATACTTATTTACCTAGGAATTTCCTACTTCCTATATATATTTACCTTTGCAAAAAAAATCACAATGACCTGTTTTTATTCTCATCATTTTTTTATAGCAATTGGAGATGATGAGCGGGATAAATCAACATAGAAAATAATCAATAGAAAGAAAAAAAATTACATTTACGTTTCAACGAGAATATTTACAAGTGTCAATATCCGCACATAATTGCATCGTCTGTCATGGCATTTTCTCTGTTTGATAGTCGCATATATACTTTTACGCTATCTAAAGAAGAACCTTTAACGAACAAATAATTGAAAGGCATTGAGAAAAATATTACTGTTATACTGATAGACATTATAAATCACATAGCGTTCTATATTAAAACATTCATACTGTGTTACATTGTCGTAATCTCCTTCCCCCCCCCTCTCTCTCTTTCTCTCTTCGTAATCCGTAGCGCAGCGTTGCGGTTTCATAAAGACATTTTAACGAGATTTAATATATCCTAGACACGACAATAGCTAAATTTATCGAAGGCTAAGCCACGGCGCGTTACCCTTCGCAGCCACTGCAGATAACTGTGTCCACCGTGATTTATCGCCATACCGTCACCATATCCGATTGTTTTATTGTTTATACTTTATAGTTTCCACGCTTCGAAAACGCTCGCACTCTCCAACAAAGACTCGTGGGTGAGGGGTGCTTGAATGCGTATACGTGCATGCGTGCCCGCGCATGTACTTGTACCTCGGCATGGCCTGTAAATCATCGCCTAAATGCTCCAGGCACTCTACACGCCGTGGCTCTAAATATTCTAATTAATGCAGGACATCGCGTTTAATTGGACTCCCGTTAGGTGAATATCTGCCAGTATTGATCATCAATATTAGCAAAGTTCGTACGAGTTATTTATATCAGTTACATAGTTGCATTAGTCGAAATGCGTCGGGGTAAATTTTTTTTCAGTTGTTATGATTTAAGAAGAAAAATACAATATGTAGAAAATATACTAGAATATAATTTTACATCAATATACAGTTCGGTTTGTTAGTTGTTTAGTTTATCTAAATTTTATGCAGTTAGAAAAGTTACGATATTACTTGTCTGTATTCCGAATATTTCTATTTATAATTCTAATCTAGCCGTCTGACGTCGCGCGGCTTTTATCAAATACAATACGCTATGCATATTGAACACTGCGAAATGAACATTACAGTATGCATTACTCGAAAGAGAAAGAGAGAGAGAGAGAGAGAGAGAGAGAGAGAGAGAGAGAGAGAGAGAGAGAGAGAGAGAGAGAGAGAGAGAGAGAGAGAGAGAGAGAGAGAGAGAGAGAGACCAGCTAGATCTCTTGGAAGTTATTACGTGGCTAAATTGTCGCGTTAGTATTTTACAACTTCGTGGAATAGAGTTCGCCTATAGAAAAGAACAATATGTTATCGGACATGCACAATGCAATGTGGAAAAATTCGAAAAATAATTCTCGTCAATGTGTAAAAGATAACGCAACTATAACCTGCAAGATTTGAACGTATTTGCGAATATCAAAATTGTCCGTAGATTTTAATTTGTTAATTTTTGTGACTTTTATAACTTTTATAATTTTGACACTTTTTCATTTTATATTTAAATAGTTATATACAAAATATGCGATGCGCGTGATTGTTATAGCATATTTGTGGAATTTGTGGTATACCTACCTAATAAATAAACATATGAAAATAATTATGTGTAATCATTTGTTCTCAAGTGTGCTGTTAAGTATTATATAAATGAAACTCTTTACACAATTCTAACATTTCTATTCCCGACAATTGATGATTAACGTGAAACTTTATGCACAAAGGGGACACAAGTATTATTTCATTTTTTTTGCAATTTATGGACCGCGTGATGTTCTCGCAATAAATCTAGTACAGCCCGTTTTTTTACAAACGCTGCAATTACGGTTATCGTAATTGCAAGACTAAAGATATTTTGCGTCACAAAAGACTGAATTATATTAAACGCGTAAAATTTCGCAATAATTTGAGAATAATTCTCCGCGCAGCTGATATTATCGTGCGAAAGTACGGACTCGTTGTCGAGACTGTCCAGTCGAAATATTTGGTCTAAGTTTTATGGACGGCGTTTTACACAGGTGTTTAAAATATATAGCGATTAGATATGACCGCGCGAAATAAAAAAAGAGCGTTAGCTCGTTACAAATGTATATCGTAAGGGTATTCTCCTCAGACGAAAAATATATCACGGATTTTTTCTAATCGGACGTATATGGTAGAGAAAAGATAAAACTTTTCGAAAACACATGAAACCAATGAGAAATAACGACGGACAGAATCGGCGAGCGCCGCATCAGGCATCGGAATTATAAATTATCTTTGAAAATAACGCGCGATAAATGTGTAAAACGTTTTTATGTATGTGCATATTTCGCGACTTTACTATGCGATACCATTAGATATTACTCAAAATAAATAGCACGGCGAAAAAAAAACAGGTATGCAAATCAATGGATAGATAAACGGGTGACTCTTGATGGGAATCGCGAATGCAGCGCTATAAACATGCATAGCGTAAGGATAAAGTTGAAAAGCGAAGCGAAGTATATATAAGTGTCGAAAAATCGTAATAAAATAACA